TTTCTTGTTTTAAAAAAGATTGAGAGAGAGAGGGTGCAGGAGCACAACCAGGGGGAGCGGCAGGCAGAGGGAGAGGGAGAAGCAGGCCTGGGGCTCAATCCCAGGATGCTGGGATCATGACCTGAGCCGAAGGCAGACACTTCACCAGCTGAGCCACCCGGGCGCCCCCCAGACATAATTTCATCTAGTTCTTTGAATGTAATTTATCAAAGTGGACTTTAAGTCTTAGGTTTATTTAATATCTGGGCTTCCTCAAAGACAGCATCAACTGTTACTTGTTTTTTCCTGTTTATGGGTCATACTTTGTTTTTTGTTTTTGTTTTTTTGTTTTTAAAGATTTTATTTATTTATTTTGACAGAGGGAGAGACAGCGAGAGAGGGAACACAAGCAGGGGGAGTGGGAGGGGGAGAAGCAGGCTTCCCGCTGAGGAGAGAGCCTGATGCGGGGCTCGATCCCAGGACCCTGGGATCATGACCTGAGCCGAAGGCAGACGCTTAACGACTGAGCCACCCAAGCGCCCCCATACTTTGTTTCTTTGCATGTCTCCTAATTTTCTGTTCAAAAGTAGACATTTTAAATAACATAACAGGGTGATTCTGGAAATCAGTTCCCCATTATCCAGATTTTACTTTTTGTTGGTTGGTTGCAGCTGCTGCTGTATTTAGCGACTTTCTGAACTAATTCTGTAAAGTCTAAATCCCTGTTGGGTGTTGGGGTGACGCCTTTGTGCTGTTAGCTTGCTGCCACGCTAATGATTGGGCAGATTTCCTTCAAACCCTTGATCCACGAAGTCTTCCACTCTTTGCCCGAAGGCTCTTCAGTACTCTGGCAAGTCACAGCTCTTCATTGGCTTCATTTCCTCTTTCCACAAGGCCTCAAGTTTAGCCAAAAGTGAGAAAATAGGAGTTCTAAGTTACTTCCTGAGCACGCACACAGACCTGCATGTGCACTTGGCCTTCTGTTTCCTCAGGAATATATCAGAGCATTCATAAGTGTACCCATAGACATCTCATTCCCCAGATCTTCCTTTTCAGCTTTGTGGCCAGGCTCTTGTTTGCTCTTACTGGTATCATCACCTCGGGCAGCTGTGATGTTAAACAGTTGTCATTGATTGTTGGTGACAAACCGTCTGGGGTGAAGGCCTTTTCCCACTGAATGATCTCCAAGTGAGGGTCAAATAACAAGTCCTAGGAATGGGGCTTTTCCAGAGAGCTGCCAGACAAGTCAAATGGTGGCAGTGCCCTGGAGCTGGGAGGACACCTGAGGAGACCCACACTCAGGCTAACCCTTCTGGTGGCTGCTGGGTTGCTGGTTGTCAAGACGAACACGGAACTGGAAAGAGAAGAATGGAAATATGGAACTTAAAATGACACACAGCTCGCTTCAGAGGTTTAGCTTTTTTTCTGGAATAATCATGCCTTGGTTAATTTCCAAAGTTCTGAAAATGGTGATCTTGACAGCTTTTTTTTTTTCCCCCCTCCCTCCAAAGTTCTTATTGCTGTTAGGGAGATTTTTGAAGGTTTTTACTTCGCTCTTCTGGAAGTTCTTCATTTTCCATTAAATGAATTCACCCTACTTTATCTTTTCCATTTCTCTGAGGTTCTGATCTGTGATAGTAACATTCTCTCTTTACCAGGACTACTTTGAATTAGTGGTTTTCTGCCTTTTCTAATTTTGGGGGGATTTTTGACTGGGAGGTAAATGGCTCAGATTGCCATTTTAACTTGGCATCTGGCATCCTACTTCCTAAAGTATGTCCTTGAATATCATCCTAGCTGCCACAGGGAAATGTAGAAAAGTCTTCTACCTTTTTTAAGCTGTGAAATATGACCGAAGGATGCCAAAAATACATTTACTACCCATTAAGTTATCACAAAGCCTGCCCGTAGGGTCAATACCAAGATCAAGAAATAGAGTGTCACCAGCAGCCCCTGGAATGCTCACGTGCTCCAGAGTGACCGCTCACCCTGCAGTTGGTGTGAATTTTATATAAACAGAGCCATACAATCCAAACTGTGTGTGTAGCTGGATTTTGTTACTCTTCGTTGCTATATATAAGCTGCGCTCAGTGGGCGTGATCTCGCCCGGCGCGGGAGCGTTTGGCAGTGCTCGGAGATGGAGGTCGTCCTAGCTCGGAGGGGTGCTGCTGACGCGCAGACTCTTCTGGCCGCTGTAAGGAGCACGAGGTCGAGAAGCACTGCTCCATCTGTGACGCTTGTTTTGTTCCTTTCTGCTCCTGCAAACAGTCCAGGTGATGAACGTAAGTGACACTGTACCACAAGCCTGGGCTTCCCTGGTTCTGTGCGCGGAAGCGCGTGTGCGGGGTCTGTGCCGGCCCGCCCTCGCCAGGGGAGTGAGTGGCCCGAAGCCCCAGCTGTGGCGTGTGGGGAGCACCGCCTGAGCTCCGGGGCTGCCCCTCAGCTTCTCATCCTGTTTCACAAAAAGGGAAGCCGAGCCCCTTCCTTCCACTGTCCGGAGTGCTTGTGTCACTAAGTCCCCAACTTGAAGAAGAAGACACATGGGGGCAGCTTCCTGTCCTCCCCTGTTAAAGGAGGGTGGAAGCAGGCTGTCGGGAGCCTACCTGCAGACGCCGCGTGCTGGCTTGGTTCATGCGAACGAACCCTCTCTTCCTGCCAAGGCCACCAGCCGTCGCCCAGCCTCAGGTGTCCACTCACTCTTTGGGCACCGGGTCCCCTCCAGGGAAAGGCTGTCCTGCCCTGCAGGGTCACCGGGTCGGGCCCACCTCCGGGCTTCCGTACCGCTCGAATGCCCCTCCACAGCTGCCTTCCCAGGAAAGGCGGAAGCTGCTCATGGCTTCTCCCGGAAAGCCCTCACCTGCTGCCATGTTGTAGTCTGCCGTTCGCGTCTCTTACATGGGTGCGTTCCCTCTAAGTCAGGGGAACCCCTGCCAAGCACTGGCCCCCCTCACGGAGGAGGCCCACCGGCCCTGCTGGGTGCTCACCTGGAGCTGTGCGATGCTCATTGGGTTCTGAGAGCCCCTGGAGGACCGGCATCAGCAGGGGTCGGCAGAGGCCCCAATTACGGGCTGGTGGACCCCCTCGCTGGTAGGGAGGTCGGCGCTGTGTGTGCAGGAGCGCGGAGCCTGGGCGGTAGTCCGGCGTGGGGCCGGGGGCTGAGCCCGGGGCCAAGCACGCCCTTCCTCCCGCCTTCCTCCGTGGACACCCACACCTGCAGCCACGGGCCTCAGGGACAGCCTGCGTCCAGACCAGGTGCAGGTCTGGACTCACGGACGTCCTGAAAATAAGACGTGCGCTGACCCTTCCAGCCCAGAGAAGTGAGCACTGGGAGCAAACCACAGACAGCCTTGGTTCTTAAAGTTACTTATGAATGTTCGGGGGGGGGGGGGGGGCACCTCCACACACGCAGCCCAGACGGGAGCATCCAGGTTGTGTGCTTCTGCGGCAGCCCCCCAGCGTGCGGACCCCGGGACGGGGCATGGTGGCAATGCCGTGTGCAGGCGCTCAAGGCTACAGGGCCACCGTCCACACGGCAGTGTGGAGGCCGGGGGCGGGGGGGCGCCATCCCCACCCCCAACACGCACAGCCGGCAAGTCCATGGCCTGGTGCTTGAAAAAGCAGGGCTTAGGGCGCCTGGGTGGCTCAGTCGGTTAGGCGACTGCCTTCGGCTCAGGTCATGATCCTGGAGTCCCGGGATCGAGTCCCGCATCGGGCTCCCTGCTCGGCGGAGAGTCTGCTTCTCCCTCTGACCCTCCTCCCTCTGATGCTCTCTGTCTCTCGTTCTGTCTCAAATAAATAAAATCTTAAAAAAAAAAAAAAAAAAGCAGGGCTTAGAAGACGGGTGACTGGGGGGCACCTGGGCGGCTCCGTCGGTGAAGCGTCCGTCTTTGGCTCATGATCCCAGGATCCTGGGATCGAGTCCCGAGCGGGACTCCCCGCTCACTCGCTCTCAAATAGATGAAAAATCTTAACAAGATGGGTTACTGTGATGACAGCTCCATGATGAGAAAAGTAACTAATTGACGCCCAGAAAACACTAGAGCTTTGCTGCCCTCTCCACCCCTGCCCTGCAAGCACGAGCGGGCACCAGCCTGGAGGAATTCTGCACAAAGGGGAGAAGAGGGAGTCAGGAGGAGAGGCGGGGCTCGGCCGGTACCGGGGTACTGCACGGACTGGGAGGGAGCCTGGCCCAGCACCCCGCGGTACCCCCGCACTGGAGGAGTCCCGCCCGGGGACGCGGTCATTCTGCAGTTGCTGCTGCCCGGTGAGGTACAGGAGACCGAGGAGAGGGTGACGGGTTCCAGAACGTGAGAGAGGAAAAGGCCCAGCCCACACTCGGCTGCCTGGACCTGCACCTCCGCGCCGTGTGCCCAGTGCCCGGGGTGCGTGTGGGGCTGACGGTGCGAGCCAGGACCGGATGAGGCGAGGGTGGTCTCTGGGAAGGAGCTGCTTTGCTCAGGGGGCGGCCCCAGGCCAGCCTGGTGCCATCCCCGCAGCGTCTCCTCCCAGCGGACGCAGGGTCCGTGGTCTGTCCGCTCTGCCCTGCGGGGCTCCCACCGCCCATCCTGGCCCTCCAAGCTGGTAGCCCAGGGGCTCTCCCCGTGGGGACCCCGCATCAGCAGCGGCCTGGCTGGGAGATCTGCCAGCCACATGTGGAAGCTCAGGGTTGTGCTCCCGTTCTGGACGCAGAGGGCCAGGCGGTGGTCTCTCCAAGGCCCTGCAGCCGAGAACCCACCGCCCCAGTCGTGAGGGCCTCTCCTTTCCTTCCTATTCCTGCCAGGCCCTGGGGGCAGCCGGCTGGAGGTGTGCCCGTCGGGCCTCTCCCTGTCCCCCCTCTGCCCCCCGCCCTGGTCTGGCTGCCTGGGGGTGGGGGTGGGGCGTGGGAAAGGAGGGAAAATTAATGTTTCAAAATTAAAAGGTGCTAATTGGGAAGGAAAACAGTTGAAGACGCAGAGGGACCCCTCAGCTGAGTCCTGTGGGTCGGCCCCTCCTAGAGAGGGGCCTGTCAGGTACAAGGAGCATTTAATTAATTTATTTATTTCTTTACACATAACTGAAGTGATGTTACAGTACAGAAGTTATTTACAACTGTGCAGTATGTGTTGCAAAATAAATTATCTAGAAGGCAGCAAAAGTACATTGTGAATGTGTATAAAACTGTACAGCGTTTACGGGTATACTTTTTATATGATTATTGGCTCTGTAGTGTTTCAAGTTATGTTCTCAGAAAGAGAAACAAAATGCCCAAGATTAAAGGAAAAAATATACAAACCACGTGGATTTGACTCCATTAAAAACACAACCCGAGTCCCGGCTCCGAGTCCGTGGCGGGCGGGCGGGCGGGCGGCCGGCCCTTCCCCCCGCACAGCGTCCCAGCCCGACTGAGGCCCGGGGCAGCCGGGCAGCAGCTGGGTCCGCACTCTCCCTGCCCTCAGACCTGGAGGGCGCGGTTTCTGAGGGGTGGACGCCTTAATTTTCTTTTAGTTGATCAGAATGGAACAAGAAATTTTAAAAAATACACTCGGTTCTGCAGCTCCTGAAATGCCCGTGCAGCCGGCTGGAGGGCAGACCCCGGCCGCCGTGTCCGCATCTGCGTCCCCGAGGTCTCCTCGGCCTCCCGCGGCAGCTGGTATTACAGAGCCCTGCCCCAGGGGGCAAAGTGCGGGTCTCTCCCTGGGTGTCCCCACCTGAGGGACAAGGTCTCCCTCCACTGCCTGGACGTGGCGGCAGCGCTGGGCAGACGCGTGTGGCCCTCGCCCGTGTCCTGTGTGGCCGTGCCGAGGTGCGTCAGGCTGGCAGAAGCACGAAGTCGTCGTTGACGTCGACCATGGGCACGTAGAAGGAGGGCACCTCGTTGACGCACAAGGACTTGTGCCCGGCGGGGTCCAGCTCCTGGACCTTCAGCTGCCACTCCATCCTCTGCACGGCGTTGAGAGCCGCGGCCTCGTGCTGCTGCCGCATCAGGAGACACGTCTGTGCGGGAAACACAGCAGGTGAGGGGAGCTGAGGCAAGACCCCGGCCCCCCACGCCCCCAGCTGCCCAAGCGAGGCCGGCCCCCGGGGCCCATGCCCCCCCCCCCCAAAGGCCACCTGAGCGCCCCCGGCCTCCGCACAGCTCAGCAGCAGTGCTGAGCCCATGGGCGCCCAGCCCTGTCCCTGGACGGTGCCCCCGCCCCCCAGGTTCCACAGTAGCGTCTAATTGAAACTGAAAGCTACTGTTCTTGGCCATTTTCTTTTTACAGTTATTTAGGGCTGGTCATCTTAGCTTCACTTGTACTACAAATTAGGTCTTTTTAAAAAAACTTCTAAGTAGGCTCAACGCCACATGTGGGGCTCAAACTCATGACCCCAACATCAGCAGTCGCATGCTCTACCCACTGAACCAGGCAGGCGCCGAAAAACAAACGAAACGTGTAAAACCGGTTATCTAGGGTCTGAAGCGTTTTGTACCGGGGTATCCTATTAACGAGGTTCTAAGTAATGGCGGTGGTACCGTCAGGGTGTGCTACGTAAGGGTCCCGGATCGAGCAGGTGAAAGGGGAGAGCCGAAAGAGCGTCTGCCGGCATCACTGAGGTGGGCCTGGGGTCGGGCGGGTTTGCGAGCAGAGGGTGCATGTGAACCCGGTGTGAGGACTCTCCTCGCGGCCAGACTTGTTTTCTCAGACGTGCGCCCAGAAGTACAGACGGTGGAGGATCAGTGTCTATAATGTGCCTTAAAATGATTCAGTGTGCTGAGGGGGTCGGGATGGGAACCCTCCTCCACCTTTACTCTTCCGGAGACGAACCACTGTTTATGGTGGCCACAGCTCCAAACCAGGCACACTTGGCGCACTTCCTTTCTTTCTTTTTCAAAACGACTTTGAGAGTGCACACGCACCAGCGGGGGAGAGGCAGGAGAGACTCTCAGCCGGCTCCATGCTGAGCGAGGAGCCCAGCGCGGGGCTCGATCCCACGACCCTGAGATCGCCACCTGAGCCGAGACTGAGTCCGATGCTCAGTGACTGCGCCCCTCCACGTCTTTTTCTATGCACCCTGTTTTTTAAGTTCTTTGTACGTTAAGGACGTTACACTCCTGTGTTTTCAATGCACAACGTCTAACTTTAACGTGGTCAAGATGACTCTGTCTTGTTACGGGGCAGCCACCAGGCCTGGTGGAGGCGGGAGCTTCCCAGGGACGAGCCCAGGGCCACAGACGCCGCGTGGGCTCCTTACTGTCTGCCGTCTACTCCATGCCAGCACCTCTCCGAGGGCGCCGCGGCCATGGGTCCGTGCGGGGAGGGGACGCAGGTTAGGGCCGGCATCCTGCAAACACTGTCTTCCTCTCCAAGAGCAGGCCCCCCACCCCCACCCCAGCCCCAGAGCTCTAGTGAGAAGAGCGGGCACGGCCCTCTGGGCCCTGCCTCCTGGAGCCTCCCAGGGGTGGCGCTGACCCTCGTGTCAACTCTGTAACTGGCGTTCAGTTTTCCAGTTGGCAACCCTAGCACCTGCGGATGAGGATGTGCTTCTTACTTGCTAATCTTTCTCTATCTCCCACCCATCCTCTGCCTGCTGCACTGGTCAGCACGTCCAGAGCAGCGGTGCTGGGTGCATGCTGTGACCTTTGAGGAGGGCTCAAGGTGGGGTCCCACAGAGGTCTGACCGCCAGCTGGTGACAGGAGCTGCTCCCCGCACACCTGGACAGGAGGGAAGACACTCTAAGGAGGCAACATGGGGGCGGGGAGACCTCAGCTCCCTGAAAGTATCCACTGGGTTCAGAGGGTCTGACACTGTCACTTCCAAACAGGGGACCCAGCAGCAGCCACCCCGCCCCCCGCCCCAGACACCTGCTGGGACCCCCAGCCCAGGCGCAGCCTGGGGGGCACAGGGCCCTCACCTTCATGCGGTCATACTTGTCGTCCACGTCCTGGAGCCAGGAGATGAACTGGCGGGCATTGAACCGGTCGCGCACGGACTTGTTCTCATCCCCCTGAAAAGAGCAGACGTGGACGCTGGGGGGTGGGGAAGAGCCAGGCAGAAGGCCCACGTGCAGAGTGAAAGCCGTGGTCTTACTCTCGAGTCCCCAGGCGCTGTCCCGGTCCGGGACCGACACACGCGGCCCTCCCTTCGCGTTCCCTGCCCCCAGCCCCGGAGCCTGCTGTGTGCCTCTGTGTTTCCATTTCTTTTGCTTGTAACTTTCTGTAAAAAGAACCCCGGGAGGCCCGCGGTGGCTTCACGCAGCGGGGACGCCAACCTGCCGTCACTGTCCTCACATAGAGCAACACCTGTACCCACGGAGGGCAGCCGGTGGGTGGTCTCACAGCCCCCGCGGTCTGGCCCCATGCGTGGCCCCCGGGGAGCTGGGAGCAGGCCCCGTACCAGACGCAGGGGAGGGCTCGCTCAGCAGCAGCTCAGAAATCACCAAGATGCTTGCTTTTAGGTGCAAAATCCCCTAAAGCAGCTCTTCAGTGCCTGACCGTTTTAGAGCTTTTGCTTCAGACAACAGGTTAATGGGGAAAGTTAATTTCTTCAAATTTTAAGTAGGCTTCAGGCCTAATGTGGGGCTTGACTTCACGACCCTGACAGGAAGGGCTGCACGCTCTACCGACTGAGCGAGCCAGGCTTCCCTGATGGGGCAAGTTTTTGAGATATTCTTCAAGACTATGTAAGTACCTGGAAAATCCTTAATGCACTAATAAAAAGTTTTAAAAGAAATCTCTGAACCACCTACTTCCGCACACATCCAACCTGAGAATGCTGCTCATGAGCCGGGGTGCAGTGGGAGCTCACGCTGGCCTGTGGGGCACACGGGTCACCAGGGGGCAGGCCCAAAATGACACACTCTGGGTGGATTTTAAAAAGTCACAGTGGTTGTCAAGGAAGAGAATCAACCGGTGACAGAGTCTGGCCCCAGGCCTGAATGCGGCAGGCAGCAGGGGATGGAGCGGGGACACGGAGTCTGCGGGGACAGGTCAACACCGGGAGCTGCCAGCAGGTGAGGCCCCTGAAAGGCACAGGCACTCGGGACACCACCCCCCCCCCCCCCGGGAGCCGTCTTGCGACCACGGCAGGGGGAGGAAGGGGACAGAGCAGGGCCACGGTGCCACCGCGGGGGAAGGAAGCACAGCCACGGTGGGCAGCTGCGCGCTCAACACCTCCCGGCCCCCGGCTGCAGCGCCTGGTTCTGCCCGCACATGACAGCTGCCGACTGGGCCGTTCCTGGGGCAGCCCCTGCAGCCGGGGCTCTAGGGGTGACTCATCCTAATCATGTTTTCCAGGAAAATTTAATGACCGGAGGCCCCTGAGGACCCGCACTGAACGTGCCGCTGTCTGGTCGCGCCCCCCACCCCGCCGGGCCGACTCGATCTGTGGGACGCGGGTATTTCCACTCGCTGCCTGTGGTGCGGCCCAGGCGCATGCGTGCCCACCCACCTGACTTTCCAAGGGCATGTTGTAGACCTCTGAGTCCAGCAGCATGGTGCAGGCACTGAACGGTACCGCCTGGTTCGCGATGGTCCTCGCCGCCCGGCAGTGAACCCGCAGGATCTCCTGCTCGCAGGAGACGATGAGCTTTTCCTGGAGGAGAGCAGCCGGATGAGCCAGGCCCCCCGCAGGCCAGCCGCGCCCCGGCCCAACGCCCCGCGCCCACAGCCCCTCTTACCCGCTCGATGCTGTGCTGCAGACGCAGCTTGCCCCGCACCGTCTCCTGCTGCTTGAACAACTCCTTCAGGGGCTCCACCAGGGAGGGAGGGGGCGCAATCTGCAATCACGGGGGGTGGGGTTGGTGGGGCTGTGAACTCGCACCAGGATGCCCGCCCTCTGCCCACCCTTCCCAAAAAGCCTGGGTGACCGTGGTGTGGCGACAGAAAGGAAACAGAGTGGTCTCTACGAAAGAAGGTGTGAGACCCAGTGGAAGGTAAGCAGAAGCTACACAAACACAGTGACCCCAAGTTTTCCACGATGGTCGTGGTGCTGTTTTGAAAACTAAAATTTAAACGAAAAAGGCAACCAAACGTCTCACTGAACAGAGATCCCAGGCCAGATTCTTTTGGGATCTGGTGTCCCAGACAAGACCAAGCAGCTAATCCTCCCCGCCCCAGGACCGACAGGGCTAAGCTGCCTCGTCTCCTGCCCGGGGCAGCCTGGGATCAGGGAGAGCCGTGCTGGGAGGGGGGTGCCGGCCCAGGCCCTGTGCTCTCAGCGCCTCGCCCCCAGAGCCTGACACTCCGAGGCACGGGTCCTCGATCAGAACACACCGGATGTCAGCCCTGGTGGGGAACCAGCTCAGACACCAACTTTCAGAGCACACGCATCCAACGTGACCCCCCCTGGGGGGGGGCTCCCCCTGAGACTGGCGACGTGGGCTGTGCGCCTGGGCCCTCCCAGCATAAGGCAGAAGTTCTGGCTTTTCTTCAGGGTGCGATCCCCCCGCCCCGCCAAAAAACGGGCAGCAAGTCACCTGCACGTGGAGCAGGCCGGGCAGGCTGGGAGTGAGCAGAGGAAGGCTGAGGTCGGGCTCTGCTGTGCGAGCAGGAGGCAGGAGCCCACCCAGGGGAAGGGGTGCAACAGGAGCAGCAGGGACGTGCAAGATGTGTGCCTGATGGCCCAGACGTGGACTCGAGGGGGCTGGGAGACGGTGTGCACGGTGGGGTTTGGACGGGTCCCGTCTGCACAGACACGGGGTCACTGGGTGCCAATGGAGGATGATCAGGTGGCCAAGGGAATGGAGTAGACGAAAGGGACCAGAGGCTCCGTGTGCAACGCCCACGGTGGGGCTGGGGGCTTAGGGACATGCCCTCTGGGCGGAGGAGCCCGCAAACCCCACAAAGGGTGCACTTGGAGAAGGTGCGAAAGGGGCCAGGGTTGCTCGGGCTCCAGCGTAAGGAGGATGGAGGCCTGGCTTCGCGTCAGCAACATGGGACCACCGGGAACCGGGACCGAAGCGTGGAGGGACTCACTCAGAGGGGCCAGGCCTACGTGTCCGTGGAGGCACTGGGGTGTTAGAGGGGATCCCCGAGTGGCAGGGAACGGCACAGCTGCGTCGGTGTGCGTGATGCGGGAGATGGGTAGTCCCGGGTGAGGAGGAGGGACACCCACAGAGCCAAGTGAGCAGATCTCCTGACCCCGAGGCACTCCGTCAGCAAGGCCCACCGTGTGGGAGGCTGGTCCCCAGAAGGGCAGCAAGCCCTGGGGGCTTGGCGTCCGTGCTCACGCAGCCCGCGGGGTCCCGGCCCCGCCCCGGTACTCACCACGGGGATGTGCAGCTTGCTGAGCGGCTTGCCGTCCAGGAGGTAGGAGCCCGTATAGGTAACGTACTCGGCGTAGCACTGGGGTGCCTGAGGGGTGATGTAGCAGAGGATCTTGCGCTTCTCCTCGATCTTCTTCCTGATCTGCAAGTATTCGAAGTAGGGGTTGGACCTGTCGCTGTGGTAGGGCTCGATGTCGTCCAGCTTGATGGCGTCCACGATGGCGGCCAGCGTCTGCTGGATCACTTCCCGCGTCTGCTGTGTGGACGTGTTCATCTGCTGCTGCAGCTGCTGGCTGGAGCGCTGGAAGCGGCGCTTGCGTGGGTGCTGGGCCTGGGGGTCGTCCTCCTCACAGCAGCGGCCCTTTGCTCGGGGGGCGGGTGCGGGGACGGGCTCCTTCTCCGAGGGGGGCGAGCTCTGCTTGTTCTGGTTGGCCAGCATCTGGGCCCGGTTCCTGGTCATGCGCTGGGGGATCTCCTCCACTTTGGGGGCCTTGGGGGCTTCGGCCGCGGGTTTGGGTTCTGGTTCCATCACTTCGGGCTGCATGCTGCCCAGCGGCCCCTCGAGACCGGCACTGTCGAGTGGGCCGGCCCCGTCCGCCACGGCCGAGCCGTCCACGGGGGCGTCGGGCACGCTGTGGGATGCGGCCGGCGCATCTTGGCCCTCGGCCGCCTCCTCTCCACTCCCTGGCGGTTGCTGCTCGGGGGGTGCCGGCGCGGGCCCCAGGCTGGAGTCGGAGTCCTCAGGGACCCTCCCCTCCGACACGGCCCCTGCTTCTACCGCGGCTTCCACCGTGGCATCTGGCTGGGGCTCCTCCGGGGGCTCGGGCTCAGGCTCTGCGGCAAGCCGGGGGGCCACCTGGTCAGGAGGCCGCAGGGGCTGGTCCTCGGCGGCTGCGGCAGGGCCATCCCCGCCATTCAGGACCACAGGGGGCCCCGCCGGGGTCTCTTCCGGAGGAACGAGGGCAGGCTCTTCTATAGGTTCTGTTTCGACGTCGGAAACGTCTTTCGCTTGAAGAGGGGGAAGATCTGGCAAGGAAAAGGGCCCGAGATCTAAGTCGTCCTCGGCGCTGGGGAAGCCGTCGGGCCAGGGCACCGGCTCCACCTGGCCGAGGGCCGACAGGTCATGCCCATTTTCCAAGAAGTTACTCTCCATGGGCCCCAGAGCCTCCACCTGAGCCACGGTGGTCAAACACGCAGGCTCCGGGGCCGTGTCGGGGGCTGCTTCCGGCAGCGGCTTGCAGTTGGAGAAGAACGGCTCCAGCCTGGAGGCAGGGGCAAAGGCGGCTGGTTCCTCTGGGGCGGAGACAGAGGCCGGGACCGCCTCCCCCACGTCACCTTTGGCGCCCTCAAGTCCAGGCTCGGTGGCCGACAGAGGGTACGAGTCAGGGGAGCCTGGGTAAGGGGGCTCTGTGGCCCCAAAGGGCCCCGGCGCAGCAGGGTGGACGGCCTCACTGGGGCAGAAATGCTGCGGGGACTCTGGGAGTCGCTGTGGGGACTTAAGCAGGAGGTCCGGCCCCACAGGCCAGCTGACGGGGTTCTCAGGGGCGCCCCCGATCAGGCTGCAGGAGAGGCCCTGCTCCGAGGCCGCCGGGTGCGCCCACTCAACGGGCTCCTCCGTGATGACCGTGCTGAAGGGCCCCTCGTCCAGTGGTTCCAGGTAGCTGGGCTCCGGGGGGATGATGGCGGCAGTGGCCTGCTGGTCCTCCGTGGCATCCAGGGGGATGCCCAAGTCAGGCGGAAGGGCTCCCTCCATGGATGGGGCCAACAGCTCATCTCTGTGTGGAGGGGGGGACTTCGCTTGTAAACCAGGGAAGGCACCCTCTGGGGAGGGGGTGGTGTTGACCGCGGCCGCAGGCGGGCAGTGCAGAGCGTCCGCTTTGGGGGAGGGGATGCCATAGTCTGGGGAATAATACCCCGGAGACAAGCAGGCAAACTTCTCGGCAGGACCTGGGGGCCCAGGGGCCTTGTCCTCCAGGTGCTGCCCCGGTGAGTCGTAAGTGGACGCGGTGGGGACGCTCTGCTGTCTGAACAGCTTGTCCCCAGGGCTGAATTCCTCCTCGGGGGTCCTCCTGATATCAACGGAGACCGAGCGGTAAAGGCTTGTGCACAACGGCCTCGTAGGCGTCTGGCTCGCGGTCTCACAAACCCCACCCGCCGCTACAGAGAACCTGTCGAAGAAGGAAGGGGAGCAGGCGCGGGCGGACGTGCTGGACACGGGCTGGGGGTCTGCACAGTCGAAAATGAGGTCGGAGTACTCGTCGGCGCTGCAGGACGGTGTCCTGGGCGTGTGCATGGCCTCCTCGTAGCTGGGGCACGACACCACGGATGCGGGCGTGGGGACCCCGGTGGGCCGGCCCTGGTCAGGCCTGGGAGAAGCGGGCAGGACCTCTTTCATGTGCGGCCCTGCCAACCAGTCCCTCGCGTCCACAGCTGGTCCCGGGTGGGGCTTGTTCTCGGCGGCGGGCGGAGCAGGAGCAGACTCCTTGAGCTTCCTGTCCTTCAGGGCGGGGTCCAGCGCCGGCGGCTTCTTGGGAGGGGCGTCCAGACTCTTCTTGCGCGCGTCCTCGGCGGTCTTCATCCTCTCCTTGAGCTTCGGGTCCCCGGACCTGTGCCGCATCTTCTCCATCTGCTTCATCCTCTCCTTGTGTCTCTTGTGCCGCTCCTCGACCTCCAGGTCCTTCTGGGACAGCATGCGCTCGAAGCTGGTCATCATCAGGTCACCGTCGCCCAGAAGCTTCTCTCTGGGCCGCGCGTCTCTCTTGCCCACGTCTCTGGACACCGGCAGCTTCTCGTTTCCGTTGCTGACCTTTGCCGGGTCACCCTTCTCTTTCTCTGGGTTCTCCTTGAACTTCTCCTTCAGTTTGGTCTCGCTGAGTTTCAGGCTCTCCTCCCTGGACTTGTCTCTGAGCGGGTTCGGAGGATTGTCCTTGTCTCTGGCCGCAGGCCTCTGCTCGTCCTTGTGGTGCCGCAGGAGCCCGTCCCCGTGCCTGTCACGGTGCTTGTCCCTGTCGTCCCTCCACTTCTCCCGGTGCTTCTCCCTCCTCCTTCTCTCCTTGAGGGCGCTGGCGGTGCTGGACCCGTAGGGCTTCAGCTCCTTCTCTACTTTCTTGGAGGGTTCTCTTTCAGAATCGTTCTTATCTTTCTTCTCAGTGGAGAAGAGCTCGATGGCTTTATCTAACCCGTCCTCCACGTCGGCTTTCGTGCCGTAAGGGATCCCATAAGCGTCGGCGTCCGAGAAGTCTTTGTCGTACTGGCCGGGGTCCTTCCTGCCGCCAGAGTCCTTGTAATCATCGCTCTTCTCTCTTTTCTCGGACTTGTCTTTCTTGATTCTCTCTCGATCGTGGCTTTTCTTGGACGAGGACGAAGAGTGTCTGTGCCTCTCTTTCTCCTTGACCTTCTCCTCGGGGGGCTCTGTGAAGGACACCTCCAGGAGGGCGCTGAGGCCTGGCTCCTGCCCGCGGTCCGTGAAGCTGTCCGAGGACACCTCGCTGGCCTTGTCGTTGGAGTCCTCCCTGTACGCGTGCAGGGCCTCCTCCTCCAGCTTCTCCAGCAGGCTCTTCTCGGCCTCCGTGCTCCTCGATGCCTTCCTGTCTCGGCAGTGCTCCCTGTCTGGCCTGTCCCGGTGCCTGCTCTTGGCCTTGTCCTCGGCAGGGGGCTTCCTCTCCACCTTCTCTGGGGGCTTCTGTTTGTTTTTCTTTTCCTGAGTGGAGTCGACGGACATCCGGTCTTTCCTGTCCTTGTACTTTTCTGCGGAGTCTTTATCCTTCTTGTCTTTGTGCTTCTCGAGGACTTTCTCTTTCTTGTCTTTGCCCCCTTCTAGGGCTCCCTTCTCCTTTTTCTTTTCTCGGAGCTCCCGGTCTTTCTGCTTCTCTGAGTGCTGCCGGTCGGCAGAGTGCTTCCGGTGCCGGTCGGGGTCCGGGGGGCCGTCCACTCGGGGCGGGTCCCCGGCCTCCCCGAGTCTGAGCCCGCTGGCAGCATACTCGTCTTTCTCGTCCTCGCTCTCGTCGGTGAAGATGTCTGCGATGTACCAGCTCTTCTCCTTTCCCTTCTTCTCGTCCTTCTTCTCAGGGAAGTCCTCGGAGAGAAGCCCAGGGAAAGTCTTCTCCCTCTTTTCCTTAACTTGGTCGAGAGACGCTTTCCTCTCCTTGTCTTTGCTGTGTGTATCTTTATGTTTCTCCTTGCTATCTTTTTTCTCTTTAAAACATTTGTCAAATTCCTTGTCCTTCTGACATTTCTCAAGGATGGGTTTTTCGCTTTTATCTTTGTCACTGGACTTGTCTTTGTATTTCTCTAATTTCACTTTCTCCTTCCTCTCCTTCTCTCTGGCGGGGTGGAGCCTCTCCCAGGGCTCCAGGCCCTTCCCGAAGTCGCAGTCAGGCCTGTCCTTGAAGCTGGCCTCGCCGCCCAGCTCCTTCAGCTCCTCCCGGAACGCCTCCTCGGGCTTGGCCCTGCCGTCCTTGCGCTCCTTGGTGCCCTCGAGGGGGTCCTTCCGGTCCCGCCCGCCCTCGGCAGACTCCCTCCTCTTTTTGTCCTTCTCGGGAAGGCAGGTGGGGACGCCTTTGTGCTTCTCCATCTGCTCCTTCCTCCTCTCGCAGCTCTTGTCCAGACAGTCCCTGTCCTTCTTCCTGAAGAAAGCGTCCCTGTCGTTCCGCTTGTCCCCATAGTCTCGCTTCTCGCGGCCCTTGTTTTCCCGCTTCTTGTCCTTGCTGTCCTCTTTCACTGTCTCCAGGATCAGTCTGGCCACAGGGTCACTCTTCACGTCCCTGTAGTCTGTCACCGGAGAATCCCAGCTGTCGTCCCCTTTGAAATCAAAGGACGAGTCGGACAGGTCGGAAAACCACCTGTCCTGCTGGTCGTCAGAAAGGCTGAACTTGGTGTCTTCGTTCTCCAGAAACTGACTCTTGTTACAGTATTCATCAAAAGCGGACGAGTCTTCTTTATAAACCTTTTCTTTTTTCAGTTTTTCTTTCTCTTCTTTGAAAGTCTTTTCTTTCTCCTTCGAAAGTCTGTCCTCTTTAAAGTCATTCTTTTTCTCTAATTTTGAGGGCCTGTCTTTGGACTTTTTCTTCCTTTCCTCTTTGTATAGTCTCAGTTTTTCCTCTTTAGGAGACTTTTCTTTCACTAATTTCTCCTTTTCTGCTCTATTTAAACGGTCCTTTTCTTCTCGGAAAGACCTGCTCATGTCTTTGATTCTCTTCAGGGATTTTTCATCCTTGGAAACTTTGACCACCTCCTCTTTAAAGAGCCATTCCTTGTCCTCTGACTTCATTTTGCCAAGTCTCTCGTCCTTCTTGAAGTGGTCCCTGTCATGCTTCAAGGCCTTCAACTTGTTTTCGCTGGATACATCGTTGTCCAGAAGTATGGCCTTCTCGGACCTCTGCTTGGAGTCCTCGTACTCATAGGTGAAGCTTTTCAGCTTGAGTTCCTGACCGACCGAACACAGCCCTTTCTCCTTGTTTTTGTGTTTGTGTTTCGTTTTGTGTTTCTTGACGACCTTCCCCTCCTTGTCCAGCTTGGGAATGGCCCCATCGACGCTGGCATGGAAAGAGCTCTTCTTCTCAGACAGGGCGCTCTGCAGGCTGCCCCTCTTCCTGTGCTCTTGCTTCTTCCTCACGGGCTTCAGCGACTCCACGCTGGAGCCCTCAGAGGAGCAATCAGACTCGCTCGTCAGTCTCGTCCTTGTGGAGTCTGACAGAGAGCTAACCTCTGACCAGGCAGGAGAAGAAATGGTTTTCCAATTGTCTGTCCGCCAGTGCTTGGCGTGCGGGTCTGAGTGGCTGGGGTTCTGCTTCTGGGCAGCAGAGCTCCCGTGGGACGAGGTGGAGGAGGCAGACAGAGAGCTGAACAGGGAGGGGTCCTTCAGCACCAGCGGGGACTCCTTGAGGCAGCCGGAGCTCCCCACCGAGTCCCCATCGTCCTCGCCACTCTCCGAGGACTCACTGTCCGACTCCGATGAGCAGAACTTGTCGTTCCTCTTTCCAAATCGCACTTCTTTGCCTTTTGTTTCTTTCTTTCGCTTCTTTTTCACTTTATTTTTTTCCTTCTGCTGCTTGGAACTGGAAGGTTCCCGTGTTTTGTTACTGGGCAATATTGCATGTGCCGAGAGTCTCAGCTTCTCTCCTGTCCCCACAGTGACACCAACGTCCTCCTCGTCCGACGTGTCTGACAAGATTCGGTGAGCCGCTTTCTTTGGTGCAATTGTGTTGTTTTTAGTGTAACTTTTCACTTCCATTTTGGGTATAGAAATGAAACTGTTTGATTTAGTCTCTTTTCTGTAATCCTTTTTCAGTAAGTGTTTGTCGTCCACTGGAGGGACTCTGTCCTGCTCGTCATCCTCGTCAAACTCGTATTCGTCCTTGACAGGGGTCACAGTTTTCTGGGGCTCTGGATTCTTAGCCTTGTGCTTTAGGCCCTTCTCAAATTCAGAGTCTGTGTTATTGCCCTCAACTGAGCTAGAAGGCGCGAACGACGGGGCGTCTTCCTCCTCTGAGCTCTCTGCTGGGAACAGGGAGGAAGAGGTCAGAGACAGATTCACAGCCACCACCCAGAACAGGCACGGGGAGGGCACAGAGCAGACGAGGTCCGGGCTGCCCTCGGCAGGGGAAGGGAGGAACAGCCCTTCGCCTGATTTAGTGAAATCGGAGGCTGACCAGAGAGAGGTCTGTGTGAAGGCAGGGGTGGCACATAAGCAGTAAGCCTGCAGGACTGTTGGCACGGAAACCCCCGGGGACAGGGCCTGGCAGTCCAGAAGCTCCCAGAAGCACAGGCGTTGGCGGATACGGGGAGGCCCGCTGTGCCCCCCACAGCAGCACAAGGAGACCCGCACCCCATGCTCCCAGCCGCAGCCGGCACACGGTGCGGCGCCCAGCCACTCACCGGTCGAGCTCTCCTCGCTGGATGTGTAGGTCCCCTTGCCCAACAGGAGATTCACCATGGTCGGGGAGTTGGCCACCTTTAGGGGCGTCTCGCCTTTTCTGTTGCTTTGCTGAGGGTTCCCTCCATACCGTAACAACAGCTTCACCACCTACAAAACAGCAGCAGGCACATGAGGGAGCTTCCCGAGAAACACGGGGGCGCTACTGTGCCCGTCTGTGTCCAACTGCAGCCCATTCCCCCCACCGTGCCCGCCCCCCGCCGAGGACCAGAAGCCGTGCACACAGCACAGCCCGGCGGGCTCTCTAGACCCAAGCCTCTCCCGCAGGAAGGAGCCTAGCGGCATCCCTCCCCCTCCCAAGCTCTGCGCCACAGGGAACAGGTCCCAGCTCCCACAGAAGTCCTCCTCCCTCTCCACGGGGTCCCCACATCCCCGCATCTCCTCACATGCGCACTCCCCTCCCACCAAGGATGAGCTGCCATCCAGCAGGGTTCGGTGGGCGTGGAAGGGTTCTGGAAGTTTGGGGGGAAGGGGGGAAGGGGGGGCGGGGGGTTGAGAGAAGAGAGGAAACAAAGACCAAGCTTCTGTAAGGAGGTTTATTTTGTGTTTTCATTTATTTTAGAAGAGCCTCGAAATTTCCAAAGCCGTGCTTTGTCTTACACGGGTAAGGGTGGTCCTGTGAATGACAGACACGCAGGGTGACGTTTCAGCAGCTGTGTTCAGCTGTCTACACCCAGCAACTGGGCTTCACACGCCTGGGGCGGCTTCACACGCCCCGGGCGGCCAGCTCCCTGGACTCAAGTGCAAATACCGAATCCAGTCGCAGCTTTGGTCCAGAAAATGCAGCGTGAAAAGAACCTTTAACAAGGACAGCCTCATCGCTCACACACCCGTTCTCACTTAGGACGCCGTGGCCTCCCCTCACGGGGACCCAGCTGCCCGCTCGAGCGAATCACTATGCCCTCCGACTGGGCAGGTCTGAAACCGACCTCACGACCCTACAGGCGTGTGGCGTTGGCCTCTTCCTTTCCTTGTGCGTGGGGCCCCTTGCAGTGCTGGGACTCTGGTCCCGCGTCCCCGCTGTCTGCCTGCTAAAAGGGCTGTCCCTGCTGCTGGAAGCCACTACGTCCCTTGCCTCCTTCTGCTAAGGCCAACAATGCAGCTGGCCGCCCTCATGCTCTCCTCCCTCCTGCTTCTGCTGGTAACTCTGACCCGGCTGGCAAAGGGTTTCTGCCACACAGACCCTGAAGGCTGCTGGGCCTCCCTGGATAATCCAAGGCCACCACTTCCTGATCCTTTGCTCACTCCTATCTGTGGAGTCCCCTTACCATGTGAGGTCCCAGGGTCCCGGGTCCCAGAACCTGGGCAGGGACCTCTCTGGGGGCCATCACCCTGCACCCATCACCACACTTCCAGTCTATCGCGTGAGACAGTTCCACAATAATAATTATAAAAGGACAGAGATTCAAAGGGCGAACCCCTTCCTCCCCACTCTGTTGGCTACCAGCTCACCGGCAGCCTCATGTCACCCCTGCCCTCCCCCCAAGCCCCCAGTCCCCTGCCCTGGCTATTTTAAGTGGATCCCATGCATTTCATAAGCTTTTTCAGTACATTTCTCCAAAAGGACCCTTAAAACAAAACAAAAACAAAAAACCGCGATGCTTTTATCTTACCTGAAAAGTAAACTACACTCCCTACCATTAAGTACATAACCCGTGTCCAGATTTCCCCAAGTCACCATGGGCATCTTTTCACTCAGAGCCCCTCCCCCCACCGCGGTGACGTGTCACCTTCCAAGCGCTTGTCACACGCTCGGTGCTGCCGGCTCCCTGGCATCTGCCAGAAGCGACCAGGCAGGGCAGCTACAAGGGAGCGTCAGAGGTGCATTCTGGTCTACAGGCGCGGTCCTCGCATGCCCCACTGGGCGTCTCTGGCCGGGGCTCCTCGTGGTGGTCGGGCAGTGACCGCAGCGAGAGCCTCGCCATCTCTGGGTGCTCGCTGCTCCTGGACTGGTTACAACGGTCCTCCCGTGTACTGGCTACATCCCTCAGTGCTGTGTCGCTGTGACTACCACAGCAACAGGGACAAGGACAGGACAAGGACGGGGCAGGGAGCAGCTCCCGAACCCCTCCCGATGGGTGTGATCATTCACCTGCTAACACCCGGCCACACTGCGTGGCCGGAGGAGGGCCCTGTCCACAGGCTGCGAGGGGCCACCCAGGATGAGCAGAGGTGGGGGGGCTGCCAAGCGTGCGGGACGGCGGGGACAACGGGACAGGGAGCAACAGAATGGAAGCCACGTCAGCCGGCAGGCCCACCAGCGGATGTGCGGGGAGGCGCCCACCTTGTAGTGCCCGTTGTTGGCAGCGTCGTGCAGGGGGGTGTCGTCATCCAGGCCCTTGGTGTTCACCTCCGCGCCCGCGGCCAGCAGCTGCTTGGCGACGTCGTAGTAGCCGCGGTTACACGCCTCGTGCAGCGCCGTCCAGCCTGGAAACGGACACTTAGGACCTATGTTATTTAATCCTCAAGAACGCCGCTCCTGTCCCGCGGCCGCACTCTCCGGGGGCCCTGACGGTGGTGGTGCCCTGCATGGGAGGGCTGAGGTCCCGGGAGACCCCGAGCGCCCTTTACTGTGGCACCTTGTTTGCTCCGCGAGGAGGAGCTTGTTAACCCCGGAGATTAACAACCTACAAGGACCACTGGGGCAGAGGGCTGGTGAGCACAGCGATACACACGCAGGACACGGGGGAAGGCTGGGGAGGCACCTGGGGAGGACGCAGAGCCTGTCGCCACAGCCGCAGGCTTGGGAGCGTGCCCTTGGTGAAGCACGCGGCTGACGCCACGCAGGAAGGTCTCCCCTGGTGGCCGCTTCTGCGAGAGCCTCAGAGGCCACCAGGAAGCATGGCCTCAAATGTCAGTGTGCAAACAGGGCCCACCCCCATGGACACAAAGTCTAGTACTTTGGAAAATCCTGATCTAGGAAAACTGATTTTTTTAAAAATGCTAAATTAGGTTTGACAGACAACTAGCAACTAAGGCAGCAGGAAAAACTCAGACGGGTTTGTCATGAAGACTGCTCTGCTCATCCACGCTCTCCCCAAAGCAGAGCAAACAGGGCTGGACTCTGGCCCATGCAGCAGAACACAGCGCAAGGATCCTGTGCACACGAGGCCGCAGCGAACCGCGATCACAGGCCCTTCAAATAAATCACGCTCGGCTGTCTCAGCCGGGGGAGAAACCCCCACTCCTGTGCTGAGCTCAAGGGCAGGCTCGGGGAGACGTTTCTGGCCTGTGGAGTGGGAGGTGTCCCCAGGCTGAAAGGCACAGAGGCGGTGCAGCTTCTCCCTAAGTACGCCAGAGGCAGACCCCTCTCCCACAGAACTGGGGTTTATTAGAACACAGCAGGGTGGTATCTAGAAATTTCCCAATTCTCTTAGAAACGGTGAAAAATAAAATGACCTTACTTTGAAATATCTCCCAAAATATGGATTCCTCCTTCTAAGAAACAGCAAATCACACTGACCTAAGAACGGGATCGGCCCCCGCCCCGCCGCCCATGCCACGCTGACCCCCAGGTCCGGGCTGTGCCTTCCCAGCCCCGGCGCGTGCGCTCACTCAGCCAGGGGGCTCCGTGGAGGCGGGGGGCGCAGCCTCCCGTCTTGTTGGGAGCGCTCACCTGCGAAGTCCTTGACGTTGACGTCCGCGCCCTCGCCGATGAGCTCCTTGATGCGCCGGGCGTCCCCGCGGATGGCCGCGCGATGCAGGCGGGTTTCTCCGCGCTCGTTTCGCTTGTTCACTTTGTCTTTGGTTTTTGAGGCAGAGTTAGGTGTCCCCTTCTGACACACTGTCGACTGGGAGGGGTGCTTTGGTGTTGTGTCTACTGCAGGCCAAGGAGAGGACAAGTGGGGGCGTCAGCGGGGGGGTGTCCCCGGTCACAGAAGCCGCTAGGACCTGGGCCGTTTCCACGAGGGAAAGGGGACGCCCGTCCCCAAGACTGCCCCAACCCTGGGGGCTCACCTGGGCTATTGGCAGACTCCTCGGCAGTCATCTGCATGAGGAGAGCCACCTGCTGGCGCTCGGAGAGGGGGTAGCCGGCTCGGATCCCAGACAGCCCCATGCCAAACAGCAGCCCGGCCTTCCGGGTGACAGGCTCCTTCTTAATCCTCTTCCGCTCAGGACCCTGCTTCTCTGTGAGGTGGTGGAGGAGACAGGGGGAGATTTCATGCCACGCCGTCCTCAGAACCCGGAGCCTTCCCTGGTGCCTCGGAGCCCCTGCCTCCCACCTCACAGCTCACGGGGAAAGGGCAAGAGCAGAGGCGGCAGCACCGTGCCACCTGGCGTCACCTCCAGCGGGAACAGTCTCGACACCATGTGATCAGCCAATGAAGCCTGCTCCGCCTCGGCCCCCACCGACCGCTCGCTCCACTCAGGTGCCTCCCCACACTGCCCGCCGCGCGCCAGGCGGTGGGACGGCCCCTCACCGGTGTCCCGGTTCACACAGGACAGGTCTCCGTCTATTAAATACACGTGTGCACACGCGGATTCCTCCTTCCCCGTCCCGCCTCCAAACAGTGCAGATAGAAATGGCAAACACAGTTTAGAAATACATAAACAGATCAAGGCCGACTCGTCAGTACTGTACCTTTCTTCTTGCTTCTAGGGACCTCCATTTCATGCCATGGCCCTTCGAGGAGCGAACCAGCCTTGCAGTACCACGACATGGACTGAGCTGGAGGCATCTAAAGGCATCAACACAGAGCACTAACCAGATACGATGGAACAGCTCAGCCGTTCCGTGTCAGCCTCCTCGGGACGCGCACATCCTCCGCTGGTCTGACCCGTAACAAAACACCCTGCCAGCCCTGAACACAAGCACATGGTGCGGTTTCTTCGAGAAGGGGCAGGGGTAAGGGAGAGAAAATACACCCCCAACTCCATGAACCAGGAGCCAAAGCTGCCCCTCCTGCTGGGGAACTAGGGATCCACCGGAAGCCTGCACCCTCCCCACACTGCCCCGTGCGTGCTGGGTGGGGCCTTTGTGCAGGGGGCCGGGGTGGTCAGGGGGCGTTCTAGGTCACGGGGTGCAAAGTGCAGCCGGGAAGGAGGGTCACCGTGGGAGACTCGGGTCCCTGAAATTCTTCTCTCGGGGCGGGGGCGGGGGGGAGCGTGTTCCTCCTGCTTTCCACTCAGCGCACTGGAGAGCTGCCTCGCTGGCTGGGGCCTGCCCTCGGGAGCCGGGTGCCATCTGTGAGAGAACGACCAGACGGACCCCCGTCTGCCTCGCCTGCCCCACTCCAGGACAACATGCCCAGCCCCACAGATGCGGCACTGTACGTCTCCCATGAGCTGCTCCTTCCTGAGAAAGCCGCGCCCTGCTGGAACGTGGGTCCCCGTGCTTTGGGTGGTGGCTCCTCAGGCCCCACAGGCCACCTCCAGCAAGTGAGTCTCTAACCCACCCACCAGGCACAGCCCTAGAGAGGCAGTAAATTCCAGAACATTCCTCCTGGCGACCACGGACCCCGCTCACGCACGGCAGCAGCCCCGTGGCCCCCCGGGGTCCCAAGAAGTTAAGCCATGCTTCCGCAGTGACTCGGGGCCACAGAGCCCAAGTCGGGCATTTGGTTTCAAAGTTCTCCCACGGCTGAGCGCGCCACTGACCTGCCTCTACCCGGTGCCTTCTCTGTTTCTCCCTCGGCCACGGGCTGCTCCCTTCACGTTCTCACGCAGAAACTGGACCACACCCCCAGCACGTACATGCTGACCGACTGCACTACGACGCCCCTGCCGACACAGTGTTTCCGGCACAGGGCTCCAGGTACTAGAACGCTCTCATGCTCTGCAGTCTGGACCCGATTTCTACCCAGTCTCCCGGGACCACCAGAGCCTCTCGGACCCCTGCGCAAGGTGCCCCACGGAGCATACACAGCTCAGGCCGCAGCTGCCTCTCCAGGGGACTGGACGCAGGAAGCCGACTGGAGAAGGAAGGACGCGGAGCTCAGAGAAACACATGCGGTGCCGAAGATTCCTGGTCGCGGGGACAGAGCACAAAGCCAGAGGCCCAGCCGGGCTCTCCACTGGAGTGGACCCAGGGAGGGGCGAGGCAGGGTCTGGGCGCAGTGCAAGCCATGGTAGGGGCTTAGATCCCTCAGAAGGTGGGGGGCAGGAGAGGCATTTCCTGTGAGTGGCAGCTGTAGACCAGCCGGGCCTTTTGCCCAACGGGCTTTCTGCAGGAACACAACGTGCCCCCCACTGCAGAGCAGGACACAACAGCACCAGGCCTGTGGTGTCAGAAGGCGCAGTCACATGGGGGGCGTGGAGACACCGTGTGCAGGGAGGCCCTGTGCCCCAGCGGGCCTTTCTCTGCTGTGGCCAGGAGCCCTGGACGACACTGGACGATGCTTGGGGACACGAAAGGCAGGGACAGCCCCTCCTGCTGGGAGGGGCCTTGCAGCCCACCCTCCCACACGGCTCTCCCAGAGGGGGAGCGGGACATCTTACGTGTCTTAACATGGGGAAAAAACCCAAATGTAATCGTATCTTCCTCGATGCCCATCTCTTGATGGTGAAATGTTCTCCAGCAGCGCCGGTGTGTTCCCGGTGTTCTGACTGTAGCTGGTGGGGGGTGATGGTTTCACACGAGCCTGGACGGCGCCCCTGCGCCATCGTAAGGAAAGCACGCTGACGGGACACCGCCTTGTATTTCTATGGTGCGAGCTCGCTGTGGTCTGTGACGTGGGCGCCACACCGTGCCACCCCTTCTCAGGTGCAGCCCCTGACCTGGCAAATGCAGGGTCCCCGCCCTCCACAGCCGATCCCAGCAGGCCCCCCTTTCTCAGCCGGGCCTTCTGGGGCAGCTGCAGGGCTGGAGTGTGGCCCTTCCCGGCGTGTGGTCCTGAGGGACCCTGGTTTCCAGACTCCACTTCCTGCCACTGTGCTTCCCTCCCCAGCAGAACCCAGACATCTGGAGACAAGGCAGCTTTCCTCCCCGCAACCAGGTGGGAGTGTCGCCGGCCCTCCAGCCACCTCAGCACCGCTCTGCCCCTGCCATCTTGCCACCACGTGATGTGCGTACCCACCTGTGTTCTGCCCACAACAGACCGCACCCCTACACTCAGGGACTCTGCTCTGCATAAACACTGAGGGCTCTGCCTTCCTGGTGCCATCCAGCTGCCTTGTCTCAACACCCCGAGCTCTTTCCCACTTCCTGCCTTTTCCTCTTTCTCTTCCACAGTCCGGGCAATTTCCTTGGTTGTAACTACCAAGCCATGAATTTTTTTTTTTTTAAAGATTTTATTCATTTATTTTAGAGAGTGAGAGAGAGAGTAAGAGAGCACGAGAGGGGGGAAGGTCAGAGGGAGAAGCAGACTCCCCGCCGACCAGGGAGCCCAACGCGGGACTCGATCCCGGGACTCCAGGATCATGACCTGAGCCGAAGGCAGACGCTTAATGACTGAGCCACCCAGGTGCCCCCAAAGACTTTTTTTTTAAAGATTTTAATTATTTATTTGAGACAGAGAGAATGAGAGACAGCACGAGAGGGAAGCGGGTCAGAGGGAGAAGCAGACTCCCTGCCGAGCAGGGAGCCCGATGCGGGACTCGATCCCGGGACTCCAGGATCACGACCCGAGCCGAAGGCAGTCGCCCAACGGACTGAGCCACCCAGGCACCCCCATGAATTCTTTCTTATGTTCTATGTAATGAGCTATATAATCTGTCCACTGAAGCTTTAATTTCATTGGTAATTTTTGTTTCCATATATCCCATTTTATATATTTCAAAAATCGACGTGGTATTCTCTGGCAGCATCTTGTTCCTTGCCCGTGCTTTCCAACTTCTCCTTTACTGCATCTACTGGTTCATGCTCTGTATCCAGCATCCAAACGCCAGGTCCCCGGGGCTGGCTCCCTCTCAGGATGGCGCCCCTCCTTGCGCTGCGGTTCTGACCCGGCACTCCTGTTTGTCTGAACCCTGGGGCCCAGAAACCGCACGGAAGCCCATCTCTCCAGAGAGGACTAGCGTTTGCTCTGATCTGGGACTGGAGGGACGGAGAGGCATTCCCAGCAGCACAGGACGGCCCACATCTCGGTCCCAGCCCGGCAAGTGACAAGCTAGGACAAGTCTCTGGGGACACCTCTCAAAGCCCCTTGCCCCATCTGGGATGGAGTCTTCTTCCCGCCGCGGTGTCCCGGGTGTGGCTCTCATGGGCATGTCCGCGGTGGCCCTGACAGACCTTCGGCCCGCGGCCCGGCTCCCGGGGACCTGGAGCTCTCAAACGGGTCCTTCATCATATCCACCACTCACCATCTCTGACTTCTGGGCTGTTCTAGTTGACAGCTTTTTCAGGAGACACAGTCCACCACACTGCCCAAAAGGGAAATCTGTAAGCCCCATGCTCCACCCTAAAATCCTACCATGTCAGCGCTGCTCTGACCCCACCCCACGGTGGAGCCTTTGGTTTGCTGCTGTGGAACTGCATTGCTCCCCGAGACATCAGAAGAGCTCAGGGAGATCTGATGGCACCGGGGACACACCCCTCTCAGGAGCAAGCCTTCCACACCAGACACAGGCCTGAAGCCAATGTGAAGAGTCCAGGAAGAACCACTTCTGGTGGGACAGTCCATGCACTGGAGGCGATCCGAACCAGGCCAGGAGCTGCGAGGGGGCTTGTCTCTGGAACAAGTCTCACGCTCGGTTCTCCCAAGTGCAGCAAGACCAGGACCCAAGCGCCCACCCGACCTGCGTGGGGGCACTCTGATGTTCAGGCTGCACTTGTGACTGGCTTCTCCCTCCTCTTTCAGAAAATCACCACCACTGATCACGTAGTAAAGACAGAGGGGGTCTTCAGCAAGCCCTCGGCTTCTGTGGTCTTAGTCTCCTGTGTCCAAGAAAGCAGGGCCTGGGGTCCCTCTCTGAATCTGCCTTCTCCTCCCAGGTCGGAGCTGTGTGGCCTCTGCAGATGCATGTCTTCTTCTCCAGGCGAGGGCGACCACAGTCCCAATTCCACAGGTGCTTGGGAATTCAGTGTGGGCTGCCGTGGCCGTGGAGAGGAAGCCAGGGATCGGGAAGTGATGCTGGCTAACAGCCCACACACAACACAACCTCCCAACCACTGACCCTCCTTTTATGGCACCAAAGCGCAGTGAGAACTTTTATAAATAAATTATAATCCAAACCTGCCCCAGTGTACGAACCATACCATCAGTCCTGCTGGCCCCGGGCCTGTCTGCACAAGCCCCTGCCTCAGACCCTGGAGCACCACCAGGTGGAACGGCCACGTCGCCACCCAGGGTCCTCCCCGGAGACTCCGGAAGCCACAGCCAGCTTCCCTGCATGAGGCCCCATGTGCCTTCCCGTGTGGATTTTGCTCTGCGCCCTGTCCGCCATCACTCATGGTCCTGGGAGTCCTCCCTGCGAGTCACAGAACCCAAGGTGGTTGTGAGGGCCTGGCTCACCCACACTGTGTGGACAGCAGGGGCCCCGAGGGAGGCCACGATCCTGCAGATCCCCACCTACTCTGCAAATGGGGGACACTGGGAACTTGAGGTAGAAAGAGCCCTCCTTGGCTAGTCCATACTCCCCTCTGTATGTACAGGAAGAAACCGCTCAAGTTCAGGGAGGAAAACGACAGAGCGATGGTTTCACTGGGGGTGGCACGAGCGCTCTCCAGCCAGAGGCTCCCACAGCAGCAGCGCTCGGCGGTGGCGCCCTGCTCACCGCCCACCACGGGCAGGCCCGCCAAGTAGGCGCGGGAGCGCAGAAGCCCCTCCTCCTCAGGCACGTGTGACCTCCGGTGTGCAGAGCGCCCCGGAGGCCTGCAGACACGGGCGGCGGAGCCAGAGTCCGTCCTCGAACAGGGGCAGCCCCAAGCAATCTTACGGAACAAGGAGGACCATGATTTCAGTGAATACGTGAATGTCCCGAAACCCCTAACACAGAGTGAATGAGTAGTTTGCCCGTCAGTGTTGCTGAATAAATACCAGATGCAGGACACAAGAGTCTTATTCATGAGATAAAACCAAAATACGAGAACCTTAATTTTTCATTACTCCAAAGACACTTCCAGGTATTGAGAACCAGCAGCAGCCAGCTCCTGATGCCTCTTGACAGGGCAGCCCTCTGATGCGGGGTTGGGGGGCCCATCTGGCCTCTGGGAACAGGCCGCGGCCACCGTGGTGGTTCCAGGGAGCAAGGGGCACAGCTTATGTTCAGACTAAGGGACGGAAAACCGTACAGAGTAGGAGGCTTACGAAAGAAGCCTGAAAAGGGTAGGTAAGCATGTAAACCGACCTAAACACTTGCTTACAGAATTTTTAAGTTGAGAGGAAATTTAAACATGAGAAAATAGACACGTTAGTCCCACTGGAAGTGTGGCCATCACATACTCTTCATCCTAACACTTTAGGTGAAGCAGGTGGTGAAGCGCTTTACACAGAGGCCAGCGTCAAGCCGGTGGCGGACGGACGGGGCAGGCTGGGCCAGGCTGCAGGGCCTCAGGCGACCTACCGGGTCGAGGCCCCCCCGCGAGGCCTGCCTTCCCCAGCCGCTAGAGGAAGAGCCGTCCCTGGCCTGTTTCTCCTAGACATCAGACCTGCCTGGGGTCTGGGCTGGCAGGGCTGCGATGTGGCGAGCACACGCCGCCCGCCCCTCCCCTCCTGTGCCCCCCGGGGCAGGCCTGGCTCTGAGGCGCACTCTGGCCGTCCAGGGTGCTGTGTGGGCAGCTGAAGTGACGAGCCGCCTGTGGGAGACGGGCCTCCATCAGCTGGGACGCAGACCAAGTCCAGTCCAGCTTTCACCACAGACAAGCCGCCGGGCCTGACTAAGCACTGAGGACGGAGGAGGTCGCCTCCTGGGGGTCAAGGAAACAGGACAACGTTCTCAGGCAGCTTGGTGGTCCCTGGGCAGAGGGTCAGCAGCCTCCGCCCACCTGGGGGGCACAGCTGAGGAAACAGAACCCCGAGTTCTGGAGCCTTCTGCCATGTTCCCCTCTCGGTGAGCACAGGGCTGCAGCTTCCCAGCAGAGGGCGCCGGAGGGCCACGGCAGGAGCAGGGGCTGGGCAGGGCGGGGATGCGGGGGGCCGTCAGCAGGGGGCCGTCAGCGGGCGGCCGGGGCCCTCCAAGTCTGCCACTCCGGGAGACCCTCCCTCGGCCCGAGGGGACCGCAGTGCCCCGGCCTCGGTCACTCTGCACAGATCACTCAGCCCTGCAGCTGGGAGGCACCTGGCCGGAGGTGTCAGCACCTGGCCGGAGGTGTCAGCACCTGGCGCAGGTATTCTCACCGGAAGTGCAGGAGGACCACGGCTCACAGGGCCCGCCAGGGGTCCCAGCAGCCCGCCTCCCAACGCCGTGCGTGACACACCAAGCACCAAGTGTGAAAGGCTCCTGATACAAGTCACGCACAACACACCCAAAGAAGAATCCTCTTAGCGGAAAATCTAGCTTTGTTAACAAAGCAGATACACAAGATATAAAATCAGACCCCTAAAGGATGATGATAATACGAGGGCAATTGTATTTCGTATGTATTAAGATGTCTGTAACAGAGTCCTAGCCTGGAAAATTTTGTTTTCCAAATGTTCTTCACTTTCTTTTTACCTCACGGTGATGCCCTCCCTGCCCGCACCCAGACCCACGACTTGCAGAGAAGAGAAACGTGAGCACTCCCTGCACGCCCCAAGAACTTCTTAGACACCCCAGACAGAACCCATGTGGACCCAGGTGAAGCCACCTGGCAGCCTCTTGCTGAAATGCTAGCCATCAAGAGATGGACCCTTTAAGGCCCGCTGGAAACACACGAACCCAAGAAGCCGACATCACAATGAAACGGGCATCGCAGAGAAATCCCACCAACCAGAGCAGAGTGGGCAGCCCAAGAACGTCCGCCTACCCAGATGCGCTCTGCTCAGGCAACACATTCTCCCAGGAAGGAGAAGCCCTAACACGGTCTCCTGAACTCACAGCAAGGCTGCTGGGAATTTATAGGAACGTCCCGGAACGTCCCAGAGGATGGACACCAATCTCAGGCCCCCACCACCCAGAGAGCTAACGACCAGGTACCAAGACCAGGCCCTCTACAACCAAAAGTGGCAGGGCACCGTAACAGGAGAGAGCACTTCGGGGCCCGGCCTTAGTTCCTCCAGACCTAAAGCCGGAGCCCCTCTGTTCTGGCAGGAGCCCAACGTCCATGTGCATCCACGGGCCCCTCCGCTCGCCCACCCACCCCTCTTGTCCCCACTGTGACAGTCCGGCCACAAAAGCCATGGGCTCTGTCACACCCCTGTGAAGGATCCCTGGGGGCCCATGACACCTTCCTCATACCCTAGCTGGCAAAACCAAACCCACTCCTCTTTTACCTAACCAGACGTCTGAGTGGGGAGCACCCGCACAGGGTGTTGGGGGGGACCCCTGTGGCCTGGTGAATAAAAGCCACAGCACAGACACATTTCCAGGCTATGCGCGCTGCCATTTCTCCCAATTTTCGCACATGCTTGTCCTGTTTCAGTACCCGTCACTTTCCCGCTACCCGACACAAAGCCTCCTACGCAAGAAGCCCCACCCACACCGCCATCCTGGCAGGGCCTCTCCTCCTTGTCCTATGGCTGCATGCACGGTTTTGTGAGCTCACCCCAGGTTCTGTGGCTCTCGGGGAATTCTGTACCCCTTTTCACCCCTGCCTGTGACTGGCATACACGTCTGCAGACCAGTCAGACGACCAGCAGGCCGGGAAGGGCCCTGTGCACCAGGGTCAAGGAGAAGAGATAGTTCAGGCTGGCAGGAGAAAGGCCAGGTTCTTGCCTAGCCCCCCGCAGGCCACAGGAGCCGCTCGAGAGGCCATCAACGTGAAGGTTCACGTGCCAAGTATCATCAGCCCCCCTTTCACACACGTGCGTGTGCGCACTCACACACACGGATACACACACGGATACACATGCTCGCTCGTGTGCAGACAGGCTCATAATCATGCACACACACAGCCCTGCTCTGCAACACCAGGCCCCACCACACCGGCAGGAAAACGGCACTGGCTCTGGCTCACTCTCAGTGTTCCTTTGGCTTTTACTTCAAACAACGGGGTGCAATTTCTGTGCTTTTGCAGCCCTAAGGGAAAACACGCTTATCCTCCAGCGCAAGACTTCCAGGGGACTGAATGAACCACGGGCAGGGGGCCTGCGAACCTCAGGAGACAGGAGCCCACACTCACACCTACAGCTGGGCACACACTGGGAGCCTCGCTGGGTGTGCTGGGGGCTGGGGGAATGTTCCTGCTTGGCCCTCTCGGGGGAACTGTGTGTGTGTGTGAACCTTGCCTATCAGCACCGAGTCACCCTGAACATCAACAACAGAGAAGATGCTCTTAGACCCCACCCAGGCCTCCAGCAGGACTCCTCCAAGAGTCCTGGTGCAGAGCTGAGAGGTGCAGACAGGCTGGGGGGCACCTGTCCTGGGGGCACATCCCAGGCAGGGTCCAGGGTCAGGAGACGCCTGAGGGAGGGGCCGTCAAGGACACTTTCTGTGGAAGAGAAGAGTCTGGCAGGTGAGGATGGCCTTGGGTGGTCAGCAGGGAGTGAGGGGCGGCATCTATACCTGTGTCCGAGTCCTTCTGCTCTCCATTGGCCCCCACGGTGAAGGGCAGCTTCCGTTTGGTTGCTCGCTCCCTCACCTCCTTCCCTCCATCACTGCGGTCCAGCTTTGGGGTCTTGGTCAGAGAAACTTTATCTTTATCCTAGAAAAGAAAGTGATGCTTTCAGACATCATTCCCAAATTAAGTTCTCGGAATCCTCACATTCACTGCGATTTCATTTCATGTGCCAGGAAAAGCAAATCTCTTACTTGGGCAACGAGAAGCACGTCCCGCCCACCAGGCTCGCCTGAGCACACATGGCTCCCTCCACCTTCCTCTGCCCCACACAGCCCCCGTGCTCATCCTGAAACCCAAGTATTCCCATGAGCATGAAGAGAGGAGAGACACACGTCATCTCCAACGTGGCTTTCCCGGGAAAGGATTAAATAATGAGGAATACAAGAGCTGGTCTTAAAAAGGGAACGTTGGCAGGAGGAGAGTCCTGTTTTCCACCATGAACTCCCCTATGCGTGGAAGGACCCTGATGCCCCCTGCCTGCGTGGGCCTCCCCAAGACATCTCCCCTCCCGGGAACAGGCCTCCCCCTTCCCCAACTGACGTCACCACAAGCCGGTGACACTATGGGGCTGTTCTGGGGACACATCCTGCGGGCCAAACCCCTGGTGCAAGGAGGGTGGGCGGGGCACACCGCCATCACCCCCTTCCTGGTCTTGTTTCAGGGCTGGTCCCTCCTGCAGGATGAGGATCAAGAAGCCCAAATCCCAGCCCCATCCTGACCAGCAGGCTGACCCAGGGTGGGGCATGTCAGCCCTGTGCCTGCCTCGGTGCCACCCAATGGAGAACGACAGAATTTGCTCAAGATGAGTGGCTGGTCTCGTGTGCAGTGCTGTCCACACAAGCTGAGGAGGTCCCGTGTGGAAATGGGACGGGCACAGAACCCTGGAGGGCAAGGGTGGGGCAGCCCCATCCCAAAATGATGATGGACCCAGCGTTGAGGGGAGGGCTGGCTGCGGCAGCTAAACGCCCTGGAACCTGCGCCCCTTGCTGACATGTCCCGGGGGCATGCTGCTCGGTGGAGACTTCCAAATTCTAACCAACACCCTGGCTCTGTGCGCTCTCAGCAGTGCTCCTGGCCTCCCCGCCCTGACCACAGTATAGCAAGAGGCTGTGGGGGGCACGCAGTGAGCCCCATGCAGGCAGAACACACACAGCCTGCCATGCTGGTAGAGGGACTGCTTCCGCGCTGGGGGGCTTGCTGTCTGCACTTCTCCCCAGGGAAGCGGTCAGCGAACACGGTAGTCACAGCCACACCCCCATGCCACACTCAGCAGCGGGGGTACTCAGGATGCTCCCGGGAGGAGCCACCTGCCAGCACTGAGCATGGCCACAGTCCCCATCACCTGTGGTCCCGACAGTCTCCCAGCTTGAACAGCCAGCCACGGCATCCACCAGCCATGGCAGCTCCCGAGAGACACCCTTAAGCGACCAGGAGATTTCTGCCAGGACACACAGCCAGCTCCAAGGGCATCTGGAGTGCAAGGAGGGGCCCCGGGCAGGGCCTAAGCCACTTCAACATGCTGGAAGATGGGGCCACACAAGATTCTAGGCCCACCACATCTCCAAGGATGTCCACCTGTCATGACCTGCACTCTACCACCCCAGCACTGACAGGAAAGGGACCCCTCAAGCACAACCCCCACACTGCAGTCAACACCTACCGACCCAGAACACTCCTGACCCTCTGGGGAATCTCTCCTATAGGTTTATGTACAGGGGATAATAGAAATAACAGAGTATTTTTTTTTTAAAGGTTTTATTTATTTATTTGAGAGAGAGAATGAGAGACAGAGAGCATGAGAGGGAGGAGGGTCAGAGGGAGAAGCAGGCTCCCCACCGAGCAGGGAGCCCGATGCGGGACTCGATCCCGGGACTCCAGGATCATGACCTGAGCCGAAGGCAGTCGCGTAACCAACTGAGCCACCCAGGCGCCCCGAAATAACAGAGTATTCAAAATTTAACACACCACATGAAGAAAGGAAAGAGAATCATATGATCACCCAATAGTTGCCAAAAAACCTGTGATAAAATTCATCACTGATCCTGACAAGAGCTCTCTGCACACAGGAGCAGGGAGCGGATCCTCACCTGACCAAGAGCCCCCAGTACCTGATGGCTGACAAGGGGGGTGTCTCCCCGAAGAGGGGGAGGCAGGGATGCCTAATCACCACAGCTACTGAAGAACAAAACACGTGTTTTTAAATGAGCAAAAGCTCTGAATACGCATTTTGCAAAAGGAAATAGCCATGTAACCAGTTCACATTTGGGAAGATGTCCCACATTAAGATAATGCAAATTAAAACCAGGAGGCGTGGGGCGCCTGGGTGGCTCAGTCGTTAAGCGTCTGCCTTCGGCTCAGGTCATGGTCCCAGGGTCCTGGGATCGAGCCCTGCATCAGGCTCCCTGCTCGGCGGGAAGCCTGCTTCTCCCTCTCCCACTCCCCCTGCTTGTGTTCCCTCTCTCACTGTGTCTCTCTCTGTCAAATAAATAAATAAAATCTTAAAAAAAAAAAAATGAGGAGGCGAGATCAAGGCTCCCACCAGAGCGGCTAAAATGAGAGGCTGATGGTATCAAACGTTGACAAGAAGGTAGCAGAGCAGGCAGAACCGTGAGCGGCTGCTGGTGGGAGTTTCTAACATGAACGCAATGCGCCCCCGTGCTCACAGGCGGCACTCCTGGCCCCTCAAAAGGCAAACGGTCAATCAAGTCCAGCCCAGTCCCAAACACAGGGTCAGAAAGGCACCAGGACACAACCTTGAGAGTGTGTCCTGGGAGCAGACCCGACCCGCCGCAGGGAGACACACAGGCTCCTCTGGAATCAGATCGGGCTCCGTCCCTTCCCCCCTTTCTCTCCTGAACAATAACAAAGTATTAATCTTAAGATGTTATGAGTATATACATAAAATCAAACCATGCAGATTAATAAGTGAATTTGAAGTTGCTGGTTACAGAAAGGTAGCTGATTTGTACTGACTATAAACAATTAGAAATGATGTTAAAGTATCCAGTTAGTATCAAAAGACATCAAATACACAGGAATGAATCTAACAAAAGATGTTAATTTAAGGCCTCCACACAATGACAAAACATTACTGAGAGAAAACAAAGACATAAAAATGGAGGAATACTGGGGGTCTGGGTGGCTCAGTTGTTAAGCGTCTGCCTTCGGCTCAGGTCATGATCTCAGGGTCCTGGGATCGAGCCCCGAATAGGGCTCCCTGCTCAGCGGGGGAGCCTGCTTCTCTCTCTCTCTCTCTCTCTCTCGCTCTCTCATGAATAAATAAAATCTTAAAAAAAAAAAAAAAGGAGAAATACTCCTGTTCATGGGTCAGAAACTGCAAAACTGTTAATAGGACGATTCTCTGAAAACTCAGCTTTACATTCAAAGTGATCCAATCAAAACACCAGCAGGCTTTCTGTGGAAACCAACCAGCTTACTCCAAAACCTGTGTGGAAACGCGAAGGGGCAGAATGAGCAAGACAGTGCTGAGGAACCACAAACACGCAGACTGTAAGACGACAGAAGTCGCTGGAGGCGGCCCTGGACCAAGGGCCAAAGGTTCAGACCAAAGAGAAGAGGCTGCAGCAACGTAACCAGAGCGGGTCAGGGGCTCCCCCAAGAGCATCACAGCGGCTCCGACAAGGCTCCCAGGCTCTCAGGGGAGAGCTGGGCTCCGAACCTTGCTGAGCAGCTGGGCTGGGGCAGGGAGTTCACTCAAAGCTGCTGCTGAGCATCCCCCGCTAGCAAAACGGGTCGCAACAGAAGCCAACAAAATGTCTATCTTGGGTGGTACAGGGCTAAGTACAGAGCTACTTTACTTGAGGAGGAAAGCAAAGCCAAATGCACACATCTCCCATGGCAAACGTGTGCGCGCTGCCATGCTGCCCACGCCAGGCCAGTTCCGTCCAGTGACTGCTCTCCGTAAGGAAAACAAAGCAGCTGCAACCAGCCTAGAGCGAGCCCTGTGTGAGAAGGCGACCCCTCCAAGGCAGGCACTGAGCTCTGGGGGCCTTTTCTGGTGTCTGCCTCGGTGGAGAGGCCTTACTGGGCAGAGAAGACCCAAGCTGGGGGGCACAGAAGTCTGAAGCCCCAGCCACCCGTCGACTCGGCAGAGCCCGTCTGGAGGCAGAAAAGGCAGCCCAGACAGGGACGCGTGGGGCCTCTCCCTTGCCCTGTGACCACGGAATCCTGTCGCAGGAAAACCCACACATAGGCCTGGGAACCCTGACTACCAACGGTGGTCTGGCCGTTGGGTGTGGAAGTGTCCCAGAGGGAGAGTTCCCACGCTCAGCCAGGGCACATCTGTCTCCAGCGGCTCCAGCTCCCCGTGGGCACACCAGCACACGCCCATCCCAAGCTGCAGCCAGACCCTCCACGCCACTCCCATGCAAGTTCAGACCAAGCTCCAGCCTCAGCCTGCCCACAGCTCCATGTGGTGGCTCCTACCTGTTCCTGCACATGGTACAGGGTGTGGGAGACAGGCAAGTGGGACAGAACGTGTGGCCACAGACGCCCACCCACCAGCGCCTCTGCAGCCCGGTCATTGTGATGAGCACCTAGGCACGCCTACGTTCACAACCCGCCCCCCGTCTCACCTCAGCCAGATGAAGGGCACGGCTCTGCTCACTCATCTCCTCGTACCCCACCCAACCAGGGTGTCAGCAGAGACAGCAGGTGCACTGACACCGAGCTTCCGTTCACACGTCACAGCGTCGACGGCCTCCCACGAGGGCGTCAGGGGCACAGGGACAGCTCTAGGGTGAAGAGCAGTGCCGCCCCACGGACAAGCCAGCATGAGTCGCTCTTGCTCTTACTGCAGACACAGTCACGGTCACAGACAACACAGGGCAGAGCCTGCACCTGCTGCTTCTGTCTGATTCCACGTCCCCACTCAGCAGCGCCCCCAGGCTACGGGGCGGGGTGTGCACCCTGGAGCCCAGAGGTGACCGCACATCACGGACACAGTGACTGGGGGTTACAGTGCCTTTTCAGAGTCACGCGGACAACCGGCCAGAGCAGAAGTACAAGCACACCCCAGGGGTGTTTCTGGTCAGGACGAGGCAGATACGGTTCAGCATCAGGTCTGATCTCACTGAAGCCGTGACAGACATCTATGGCTCCCAGACCAGAGAATGTGGGGCCACAGCAACACGCCTCAGCAACATGCACAAACCTCATGAAAGCTTCCCTCTGGTTCCTTAAGAAGACCCTCCCTGGGTCACTGTGGCTGCAGAGGACATCGACAAGGACAGGGACACACACAGAGGCCAGGAACGGTGAGCCAGCGAGGGCGAGGGCAGCCCAGGCATTACCTTTTTCCCCGTCTGTTTCTCCACCATGTCGTTGCTGAGGGAAAAGTCTTCGTGCTGTGGTGTTCTAGAACACCCACCCTTGGGCATCGTTCTTCTCCCCTCACCTGATCTTCATTTATACGGCCATCGCTTCGTCATCGACCGTCTGTTTCAAAAGAGAGGACACACAGGGTCAATCAGGACCAATGCACACAAAGCCCAGGCAATCTCAAATTCATGCCCCAGGATGGACTGGATGTCACCTACCGCTCTGACGGGGGCTGTGCTCCCCGCTGGGACGGGTGCCCAGGAAGGGACCTCAGGACTCACGGCCCAGCGGCCCACTCCAGGATGGAGAGCTTGGCCCTGCTCTTCCAGGTCCCCTTTAACTGCTCCACGGGCAAGGTCACATCCCAGGGGCAGAACATCACAACCACCACCCTCTAAGCCATGGCCTCGACCCCACTCACCACCCGCACCCCCTGGAAGTCAGCTCCCTTCCCACACTGCCCCCAGATAGAAGGTGAGGATGAGAGCCACACAGACCCAATTTCCCAACTTCTCCCAAATAAAATGAGCTGAAACCAGCCCCATAGGATGCCTCTCAAGGAGTCCTCACAGTCCCCCCAGATGTCCAGGCAGCTCTGGTGCCCCGATTTGTACCCACTGAGCCAGACCCTGAACAGGGGCCTGAGGCCCAGCCCCTGTATTTCCCAGGAAATGCCAGGACGTGTGCTGACTTAATTCTGTATTTTACCATGTTTTGACACGTTTTAAAAAAAAAACAAACAAAAAACCTGCTGTCTGGGGAGAGACTGCCCCTCCCAGAGCTAGCCCTTTCTTAGAGATAGTAAACCTTTCCTACATAAAACCACCAACCATCTCTTTATCTAACACACACAAGCCAGCCACCAGGCAACCAGAGACCACCCTAACAACCCACAGCATTATTCCAACCAGCCAGTCCTGAGCTGTCCACCCTGCCCACCTGCTCTTCCAGCCGAAACCCCAGCAAAGACCTTATCCTTACTCCTATCTTCTGCCTCCTGGCCACCCTGGTGCCCTCCCTGGTGGCCCTGGGTGGGCTCCCTCTGGGACCTGAGAGGGGAATCAACCTCCTTTCAGTCTCTGCCCGCGGCCATACTGACCTGACCAGACCATGGCAACATGGACCTTCTTAGAACACGGCCTTGTCTACCCCTTCCCGGCCTCCTGTTTGCTCCACGCAGTCTTCCCAAAAGCCACTATCTTCCTTTTTATACTTTTTGTATATATTTTTTTAAGATTTTATTTATTTATTTGATAGAGAGCACGAGCGATGTGAAGGGCAGAGGGAGAAGCAGGCCCCCTTCCGATAAGAGAGCCTGATGCGGGACTTGATCCCAGGACCCCGGGACCATGACCTGAGAGCCAAAGGCAGATGCTTAATCAACTGAGCCACCCAGGTGCCCCTTTTAAACTTTCATCCTCTGAGTTAGAAACATTTTATTTATTTATTTATTTTTATTTTTTAAAGATTTTATGTATTTGACAGAGAGAGACATAGCGAGAGAGGGAACACAAGCAGGGGGAGTGGGAGAGGGAGAAGCAGGCTCCCCGCGGAACAGGGAGCCCGATGCGGGGCTCGATCCCAGGACCCTGGGACCATGACCTGAGCCGAAGGCAGACGCTTAACGACTGAGCCACCCAGGCGCCCCGTAGAAAACATTTTATACAAACAAACCATGTGTACTATTTCATCTCCTCTTCCCTCAGTGAACAACTCTGTGCTTTGCCATTTTGGATAAGTAGTTTTTGTAACTAAGTCACCTGGAATTAAGCGGCCTCCACTATGTATAAAGTGTGGCTTCTGAAATACAATGTTCAAATGCAATCGGTAAGTGGAGTTCCACTCCCTGGTTTTGTCAGCCCCCTGTGCGCCCTTTACCATGTCTTCCGGAGATCCTCTTATTTTTCCACATTAACTGATAAAATTTCACGAAGTATTCTCTTCATACTTAACTGACCTAAGAAGACATCTAAATTTATTTTGGGAAGAGGGACAAGGCTGACCAACTTTACTCACTTCCCGATACTTCCTCCCCCCGCACACAAAGCAGGTGGACAGGGTGTTTCCATCCACACGCTCCAGTGGTGGAGGCCAAAAACGGCATTTTCCATCTCTGCCTGAAACTAGAATTCGACCTTCCTCTCCAATTTTCCAGTACCACACTAGAACATCTCAGCCTGGAAAAGTAGCCTCTCAGAGCCTGACTCAGAGACAGCTGCTGGAACTCATCAACAACGTTTCAGTAGAAGTTTAAAAAAACAGTACCTGACTGCCTGCTCTCATGGTGGGAAATCGAGCACAGTCATCACGGGATGTCCAACCCTCCTGCTCGTGAATGTGAAATACCAGAGTCCGTGATCGCATAGGAAAGACCCGGACCAGCACGTGGCCTCAGTGCAGGCCCCACGATGTCTGAACCCCAATCTCCCAGCCTACTCCACAGTGTCTACACCAAGAGACGGGCACAGATAGCCACTTCATTCTTTGAACAAGTGACTTCACTACGTGTCCCTGAAATGTCTCTGGTAGGTGGTCTCTCTATTCAAAGTAGAGTTCTGAGACCCCTGAACTGAAAGGCCTGCCTCCTCCTTCCACCTGCCCTCTGTGGGAGAGACAAGAGCTATAGAACAGCATGAAGAGAACACAGTACCGTTCCACGACAACTGCCCCAGCCTCCACAGCCCAGTTATCTTTCGAAACAGCCACAGCAGGCACAGGGCAGGAGGAAGGAGTGAAGTGAGTTCTCAGCCTCTCATCCAGCATCTTCCATCTTCATGGCGCCCTGGGACGAGTTCTGAGGCGGACGCCCAGCATTACTGGGAAAGAGCTCTGCCCAGGACTGGACAGAGAGGATAATCTGGAAGTACAAGGTGAGCCACGGAGTGCCACGTGAAGGGCCTTCCACAACGGCCCTGCAAGATGCACCCAGCGGCGTAGAGAGTATTCTGCAAACCCTTCAGTGCTACGCCAATGTTGCCCGTTACGGCTCTCACTGTCAGCATTACGATTAAACCACCGAGGCCTTGGGTGCAAGTCTTCGGGCAAGTTCCTCGGACCCAGGCAGCTGTCCCCTGATACCATCAGATACCTGCCAGTACGTTCTGTTAACGTTCAAAGTGAAACTGCTAGCTATTTCACCAGCAAAAACGGCTTTATTTTGGAAGAGCAGAGAATGGCAGCCCAGGACAGACAAGCCAGCCCCAAACCATAGGCAATTCCAGGGAACAAAGCAAAGGAGGCTCTTTTGTAACAGAAAGGGATGGAGTGGGGTGGGGTAGGGCTGCTGATGACTAAAAGTTTATTGGGGTGAACATGGGAGCTGGGCTGTTGCTGGGGGAGGAAGAACCCTTCCTTCCTCCCGTTGGGTTAGTAAAAGTCTTCTCCCGTTGGATCTGTAAGCGACAGCTAGTGCTGGGCGTGAGATCCCCCTGCTCGCCTCGCCTCCCTCCTCCACTGTAAATGAGATTTCCCTTTATTAATTTCCACGTTTCATTTTGTGAACAACCAGCTAATTCCCTGCGATCTGTCGCAGGGTGAGGGCAGCCCCAAACCTCATCACCATGGCCCAAGGGACATTCTGTGCCAGCCACTGGCCAGGCGTGCCATGTCCTGTGCCCACCAGTGGGCCTCTCTCACTCCTAAAGGTCACTGTCCTCAGGGCCCCTGTGCGCCCTTTACCATGTCTTCCGGAGGACTGGGAACACTGTTAGCTATCAGGGTAGGAGTGTCATCCCTAATGTTCCGTTCTCTTTTCCACAAGACGTTTTTCTTGAGCCCACATTCCCGATGACAACTGAGACCACCGAGGCCACCTCATTCCCCTTGGTTACAAACACGTCAGTATTCCAAACCGGTCAGTAACACGAGGACGAGCACCATGGCCATGGTTCCCTCAGGGCCTGGGACATGCAGCACTCTAGACTCATTCCTTTAGGGGCAGTCAATGAAACGGCTTCACAAAGGCTTTCAGCTCCAAGGCTCAGACTGGCCGGTGGTGCACTCCAGTTGATTTTCTTGGGAGAGCAGGGCACACTGGGTCAATTGTCCTGTGCCTAGCAGGACCCGTCTGGCAAGCTGCAGGGCCAAGGGGACTTGAGTCCTCCCTCTTATTTTCTCAGTGATAAACTAGCTGAGAACAAGTCTCAACTGCACCTTCATCTTCCATCTACCTGGTCTTCCCAACCCCCCCTCCCCCCCACCGGCTGTCCAATCTCTAGGGCTCCACGCCATCCCACCCCTCCGCATCCAGTCATCCTCTCCCTCGGCTTAGAGAAATGGCCACGCCAGCAAAGCAAAAGACGCAGACGCGGAGAAAGCAACTCTCATCACCTCCCACGACTTGTCCTAAGCCAGGCAGAGCCACACGTCAGGAACCAGGCTCGCCACTTCTTCCATGGGTCCTCTGGGAGGGTAGAGGGTGCCAGGGTGCCACAGGCCTCCCTGCTCACTGCTGGGCATTCACTGTTCAACCCAAGAAGAGGCTGGGACCCCCCAACAGAGTCATCACGGTGGAGACAATCTTCGTGGCTGGGGTCCTCCCTTCTAACAGGTTACAGGCTACCTCAACCCAGGCTCTGGGGCTTCCTGACCAAACAACCCAAAGCCTCAGGCCTCAGAGGCAAGCTGGCTGTCCCCGCTCAGACACACTGACACACTGGGATCTGAATCCCTCACTCCCGGTGTCAGAAGATGCCCACTCTAAAACACAGGGACTAAAAGTCCACGTCAGAAACAAGTAGACTTGTTTCTGGGACACACACAGACTTGACACTCGGCACCAAAGCAGCAGGACATGGGGAGAGGTCTGCAGGGCAGCGTGAATTTGGATGAAGGAGCATGGCTGGTCTGAGGGCCGCTTTGGCTGCTAACCAGTCCCTACTGGGATGGGCTGCTGGATGTGGGCCCTTTCCTGCACCTCCACACTGAAGGGCAGCCGCTCCAGCTTCACAAACCACTCAGGAGGCACGGAGACCACTCAGGAAAGCACTCAAGAGCGTCTGCAGTTGGGTGAGTCCTCTGAAGAGAGACCCCAGCCTGTTCCCTGAAAGCAAGGTACGACGCCGACACTGCGGGCTCGGGGAATCTGTCAGTGACCTGGCGGCCACAGGTCAGAGCCC